GGGTGCGGGGTGCGGGGTGCGGATACGCCAGCCGCACCGCTGCATGGCCAGCTCCTCCCGGCAACGCGAGTCCATACCCTACCGGCTGTTTCTCTGGACGGCGTGACCGCCACGGGGCCCACCCTCTCTGCAGCCACCTCACATCCCGGTAGGGCATTCGCAGGCCCAGCCCGAGCCCTCCCAGGACGCCCCCACCTACAGAATCGAAGGTCTGGCACGCTGGGGGTGCAGGCGGTTCCGGCGGAGACTCAGACAGCCCCCCACGACGCACAGCACCGCGTTCACGCCAACGACTAGGTATCCCCACCCGGACAGCGAGGGCTTCTGGGCGGCGGGCAGGCCCGGCACAGCTCACAGGCTGCAGCGGGGACAGCACGAGACGCCCACCAGGGTGACTGACAGGGACCAAGGGTGTGGAGCTGGCCGTGCTGCTGTCATTCGGCTCGTCCCCGCAGAGGACGGCACGCTGCAGGGAGGAGGCTCCACGTTCGCTGCTCCACCTCATGGGGACACACCCCAGCGCCTGGGGACACACCCCGGCGCCTCTGTGCGCACAGCACGTGCTGGGGCCTCCGCCGGCACCCCACCTCACTTCCCGCAAAGCGCCGCTGCCTGCCCGGTCCTGAGCCCTTCTGCCCCCGTGACCTTCCCACGCGTCTCAGGGGCCACCTACAGGACTCCCCGCTCGGCCAGCAGGCACGACCCCGTTTAGGTCAGCAAGGCAGACTGCCGTGCAGCCCCCTGCTGACCCGCCAAGCTATCCATCTGTCCACCCATCCACTTGTCTCATCGGTCACCTACTGTCTACGTCGCTGTCCGTCCATCCGCCTACCAATCAACCCATCTTTCCTTCCTTCCTTCCTTCCTTCCATCCATTCATCCATCTATCCATTCATCCATCCATATGTTCCGTTATTTATCTATGTGTCCATCTGCCCCTCCGTCTCATCTATCTAAATAAATAAGGGAAAATAAATACGCCTGCAGCGCACACACACGCTCTGTGGGTTCCCTTACTCTGGAGAGCCCTGGCTGACCCGGCCCGTCTGACACCGGAGCCCGTCAGGAGTCGCCCCCCAAACACAGACACACACACCACCTCTGTTTCCTCTTCCTCTCGTCCTCTGCTTCCCGCCCTCAGGTGAAGTCACGTCTCTGACCACAGAGGGGTGGACGGCCGGGTCGTCCGTACCTGAGCTGGGAGGCCACCTTCACGCAGTGACTCCCTGCTGCTGGCTGAGCCTCGGCGACACAGCCCCGAGGGTCCTCACCTCTGTCTGACTTCTCCAGTAAGCCCAGGGCCACACAGACGTCCAGCAGGCGGCCGGTTCCACACTCAGAGGTGTCCAGTTTGCTGGCAACATCCACGGCCCTCAGCGGACCCTCGTCTTGTAGTAAATCAAACACCTTCAGCTTGCAAGCCGTGAACAGGGCCTGTCGGTGCAAACCAGAAACAGTCAGACTCCTGCCGTGACTCATCAAGTGCTCATTTTCTCTTCCTCTTGACCATCAACAGTAGCTCATCGACCCGAACGTCTCCACAGAAGGCTGCGTTTAGGCTCCGGTCAGAACAAGGTTTGCACAAGGCAAGAGCAAACTGCTGAAATCAGGCAGAAAAATGGTCCCAGGGGAGAAAAGCCATGCGCTGTTGCCAGGGGCTAGATGGTGACCCCTCAGCTGCACCCTCAGATCCGTATGTGGAAGCCGGATGCCAGGACTTCAGAAGGTGGCTGCGTTTGGTGACAAAGGTCCATCCCCAGGGGCACTGACTCTCTGTTCTGCTCGGGACACACAGCCTCACGTGACATCGAGAACCCGCACGCGACATCGGGAACCCGCACGCAAGCCATCCCCTCCTGACGCAAAGACCTCTGTGACAACGGAGACCCTTCCATGACGGGCAGGCCACGGCACTGTGTCTAGAGCGACCAGGATCGATCTGGCCAGTGACCTGTTCCGTGACTCCCTGCAGCCCCCGCTGGGTCAGCGGGCGTGGCCGGTGGGAGGATTCTGTAATATGACCTACGGAATAGCTGGGTGGACGCATAAGTAGGTGGGGAGGCAGGTCGGTAGGGACATGGATGACAGAGAAATGGATGGATGGACAGATAAGTAGATGATAAAAATAATAGATAAACAGACGAATGCATAGATGATAGATACATAAGTGGACAGAGGGATAAATAGATAATAGATAATAAATAGACAAATGCATAGCTGGATGACAGATTAATACATGAATGGATAGGTAATGCATACATGATAAATCAACGAGTAGATCGATAGATGATAGATATGTGAATAGACAGATAGACAGAAGATGAATGGATAGGTAAATGTATCGATGAGAGATATACAAGTGGGTCGACGGCCAAACAAATGATAGATAAAATGGATGGACAGATGATAGGTGTTAGATAAGTGAATACATAGAAGATAGATAAATGGGTGGATAAATGACGGATGACAAGCGGATGGACAGTTTCTAGACAGACGGGTAGATCAGTGGATGGGTGATGGATACGGACGTAGAGGATGGATACGTGGATGAATACATGGATAGGTAAATGGATGGCTGGACACGGCACCGATGACCACGCAGGACGGATGGCGGAGGCTCAGCCACGGCCACGTGTTGGCTGCTGGCTCCTGTTCCTCCGACTAGGACAGCGGCTCAAGACGCTGAGGCCAGGGGCACTGAGAACACACGTGCTGCTCTGGTCTGCCCGCTGGGCACCTGGGACCTGGTGCCACAGCCCCCTGCACCTGGCCATGAGGGGTCAAGGGCACCCCAAGGCTACTGCTCGGCCAGCTTCTGGCCTCACGTCCCAGGGCTGGCGAAGCACCAAGGGCCCCACACCGGGGTCACATGGGCACCACTTACTTTCAAACGCCCAGGGACCCCGACCTTTCCGCATGTCACCTGCGGCCCCTGGCCATGGGTGCACCCTCAGACACCTGGGCCGACAACTCTACCCTCTGCCGGTCCCAGGAGACCGTCTCTGTCTCCAGCCATTTAGTGATGGCGGAAAGTCGGCCCAGACACAGCCCTGCGGGGGCCTCAAAGAGATTTGCTGAAGACCTGACCCCCCAGCACGTCTGAATCAGAGCTCATCTGGAACGAGGGTCTGTGCAGATGGGATTAGTAGGGGCCTGAGATGAGTCTTCCTGGAGCAGGTGGCCCCAAACCTAGTGACAGTGTCCTTGTAAGGGACAGAACGGGAGAGACAGACACAGAGGAGATGGGGCACAGACGGGATGGACGCAGCCACCAGCCCAGGGACCCCTGGGGCCCCCAGACACTGGGAGAGGCAGGAAGGACCCTCCCCTGGAGCCTCTGGAGGGAGCGAGGCCCTGGGACACCGAGATGTCCCACTGCTGGTCCCAGGACGGGGGGAGGACACATTCCTGTGGCTTTAAGTGCCCAGTCTGTGGCCACCGTCTCAGGCACTGCAGCACCCTGGCACAGGTACCTTCGATGCTTTGAAGCCGTCCATGAGTTCGAGGAGGCTCGTCGGGAACGGGGGCAGGGTGTCTGCTGTGCTGTCGCGACCTGCGTCCTGGCTGCCCGGAGCCTCTGGTCCGTGGCCGCCGGCCTGCGCCCCGCCCTGCGCCCCACCGTGGCCGCAGCCCTCGTCCCTCCAAGCGGGGTGCGAGCCAGCGCCCTCCGTGTCCACGTCGCCCAGGAGTGAGCTCTTGCTGTAATCGCTGAGGGTTTGGTTTATGCCGGCGGCCGGTGCTCGGGGCGGGGCGGGCCGTGCAGCTCGGCCATCTTCCTGCAGAAGTGGTTCAGGGGGAAGCCCACGACGTTGAGGACGTCCCCGCGGATCTGCTGCACCAGCATGCTGCCCAGGGACTGGATGCCGTAGCCGCCGGCTTTGTCCCTGGGCCGGAGGGAAACGGGACGGGGGAGGGGAAAGGTTACGGGGCTCGGCTAAGCTCCCGGGTCCCAGGGGCCAGTGCAGCGTGTCACAGTGAGTGGACGTGACCCATGCCCCGAACCCCACTAACGGTCTCCAGCCCAGGCACCTCTGCGTCCGGCTCCAGGCCCAAGTTCTATGTGACGTCCGGTCCTGGCCCCGGGCCGTTCCCAGGAGGGGAAGGTGCCCCCGCTCCCACCGCAGGCCTGGTGCCGGTGGCCCATGGGGGTGCAGGCTGAGGCCCGGCCCCATCCAGCCTGCTCGTCTGCCCCCCGGACCCATGCCCTAGGCGCCCCATTCTGATGTCTTTACGGGGGTCGTGGGTCCTGACGTCTGCTGACACGACCTCATGGGGACGAGGAGCCTGCGTCTCCCTCCTGCACTGCTACCAAGTACCGGGCACGTCCCCTCCTGTGTCCCCATCCCCGGACCCAGGCCCAGGCCCAGGCCGAGGCAGGACTCTGGTTCAGGGCAAGGCGACCGCACTGGCCCGAGCTGCAGGCTGCGGTGGCCGCCCTGTGGCCGGCGTCCGTGAGGACACAAAGCTGGTCAGCCAGCCTGTGCCCAGAGCCCACAGGGCCCCCGAGCCACGTGCCGTGACGTGCGACGCTCGGCCGGGTCCCCGGAGATGGCGTCATGGGGGGCCGCGGCCTCGGGGCGCTGGGACACGCACATGGGCTCCCCGCTGTCGATGTAGTCCCACAGCAGCTCGTCCGACAGCTGCGAGAACTGGACCGCCGTTTCCTCGTAGAACTCCGAGACGTCCACGTCCAGCCGGCCGTCTGCAGGGACAGAGCCGGGCGGTGAGGACCGCGCCACGGGCGGCCTCAGCGTCCCGGAG